CTAGCTCACGTTGAATGATACTTAGCATTAACTCTATAGATAAATACGACTAGCTCACGTTGAATGATACTTAGCATTAACTCTATAGATAATTACGGTTAGCTCAAGTTGAATGATACTTAGCATTAACTCTCGATAGATAAATACAATTAGCTCACGTTGAATGACACTTAGCATTAACTCTATAGATAAATACGACTAGCTCACGTTGAATGATGCTTAGCATTAACTCTATAGATAAATACGACTAGCTCACGTTGAATGATACTTAGCATTAACTCTAGATATATAAATACGATTAGCTCACGTTGAATGACACTTAGCATTAACTCTATAGATAAATACGACTAGCTCACGTTGAATGATGCTTAGCATTAACTCTATAGATAAATACGACTAGCTCACGTTGAATCATACTTAACATTAACTATTGATAGAAGGATATGGTTTAAAGTTAAAGTTTGGTGGGGGTACTTCAGATTAAGTCTTTTTGATATTTAGGATCAGGTCTCAATGAATGAAAGCAAATTTTAATCAAGTTGAAGCGCCATTACTGATTTAATACGTTTTGATTATAGTTTATTTAGTCTATGTTACAAGTCAGCTGAGATATCAATTCAAAATCATTATACGCATATCTTAATTAATTGGTAATCTTTTAACCCAAAGTCACTCACTGTTCATGTAACATAATTATTAGATAATTATTAAATGTTTACTGATAATGTTTACATATAAAGATCGTTATAAATTGATAATGAAGTGTAATAATTTTCAAGATCACTCATTTAATGTTACAGCCTTATTATTTATCTTCCTGGTGATCAAGCTTCACATTACTTATTGGACTAAAGTCATATTCATTATTAAATTCAAACAGTATTTTCGTTATAAATTTACTCAGTTTTAACTTAATGGGTTTCAAAAACTGGTAGTGCAAGAAGTAGTTCCATAATATATAATACATTTTAAAACCCTCAAAAATGTTTTTTCTTAATGCCGAAGGATTATTATGATATTTGAACGAATGTGTGCGTGTGTTTATAGTTGTGGTTAAGTTTGCGTTTAGAGAAGTGACGTCACTTAACTAAAATTGGATGAAGTCCGATAACTACTTCTAACATCAACAGTTACAATAAATTTGTGTTTCTTTATTGTTAAGCGCAAAGCTACACAATGGGCTATCAGTGCTATGCCGACCACGATTATCGAAACCCGGTTTTTAGCGGTGTGCGTTTAGGCTTACTGCTGAACAACTGGAGAGATACGATAAACTAAAGGGAAAGCTACACATGGGGAATTCCTATGTTGTATGCAGAAACTGATGGAATATAAGGCCAAAAGTAAAAATTAGCTACCATGATTAACGAACTGTAATAACAGTAACCGACAAAAACATAAATAAATACTCATAAATTTCTTGATTTAGACAAAAGTCTGAAGAAGATTATTATGGGTGAGATAGGAAAAGTTAACTTACCTTCTGAGCCTTACACATTCCTACTAGAGCTTGAACGTCATGGTTAGCATGTCTATCGTTTTTTAAACATACGCCACACACTGCTACTTTACACAGCATACAGTACATCCCCAGTGTTTCTGACGGATGTTCCCCACAATTGGTCTTTTTCTCTTTATTTTTGGATCTCAGGAAGGCCTTTCCCTGCTGTGGACTGACTAGTGAATGGGCAGCTAGAGGCCCTCGAGCCGGGTGGCAGCCATCTCTGCAAATGTCACAGTAGAACACTTCACACTGTTCACACATTACTGTCGCCTCCTTGGGTTCGTCTTCACACAACTGGCAGTGGATTGGTAACTGCTTGCTTTCTCCGTATTTGTCAACGATGTTCTGGAGCGTCTTGTTCTTCTGCAGGTTGTTGGCTCCGTGTTCATCAAAGTAGACCACCTTCTGGCAGACCGGGCAGCCCAGGGACAAGGAGCTGCTCTGGAGAGGAGGAAACAGGAGGTTAGGGGTTCCGACATAGCTACTCGGCCGGCTGTTACACACTACTCCGCTATCGGTTTCACTCACTAGACTCAACTTGTCTCCGTCGGGATAGTCTGCTGTACTGTCACTGTCGTCTGACGGTGGCTGAAGGTGCTGAGCTTGCTGCTGGTTTTGAAGGGCACAGTTTAGACAGAGAGAGTGACAACAAGGTAGTAGGACCGGATTCTTGAAAAGGTGTTTACACGCAGGGCACTTGAGCTCTTCTTCCATCTGGATCTCTTGAATCTCGACTCTGCATTTGGAGAGCAGTACCTGACGCTCACGCGCGGGACCGGTGCATCTTTACATTTGGAGTTACTACCAAGATACGCAAGTCTCCCCCTAGCGTTGAATGGAGCATGCGTGATGTGTTCTACCGTCGCCCAGTTACAACGCGTGCAAGCATTTTCGCAGTTTAGACTTAGCTTTCACAACTCTGACTATTTATTGTGAGTCACAGTTTTTTTCTGTACCATAAGATCGAAAGGCGGTTGACAAAGTACCATTAAATCCGGATTATTCACTGTACATATTCTTCAATTAATAACTGTAATATAGAATGGTTGTTTTATAGTTTATGTAACCTTACATAAACTGTTTGTTTGTTTATAATGAATTTCGCGCAAAGCTACACGAGGGCTATCTGCGCTAGCCGTCCCTAATTTAGCAGTGTAAGACTAGAGGGAAGGCAGCTAGTCATCACCACCCACCGCCACCTCTTGGGCTACTCTTTTACTAACGAATAGTGAGATACATAAACTGAACTACGTGTTTAGTGTATTATCCAATTTGTAACGCTCGTTTTAATTTTAATATGCATTTCTTTATAGACTTAATACATATTCATTCTGACTTAGGTTGTAACATAATTATATAATAATAAATATGTGTTGACACTCTTGTGAGTAAAACTGAAATGAATGAACATTTCTATTGCAGGTAAAAAAAACAGGGATTATTCTTACAGAAAAAAATCTATTTTTTTCGCTTTATACCCGTGCATCGTATCATATAGATTTCTAGGCCCCGTTTCTATATGACATTCTAGTTTGGTGTACGTTACTGTACACTCAACTAGAGACACAGACTTCAAAACAAAACTTGAAGTATACTTTTAACAATGATGTTGGAAAGTGCGCTCATCCCCTTGTACATCCTGTATGACTTACGTAACACATGGTGTATGTGTATTTCAAGTCACGCGCCTATAATCTGTTTCCCAGCTGCTTTTGTTTTCATATTAGTCCACGTTCTTTTTTTTTTTTCTGCTGTAGGTCTCGTATTATAATATATTTTTTTGTATATTTCTACGTTAGAGCACAAAATACACCGCACTATTAGTTTAAAAATTATAAGTAGAATACACTAGCAATATGCATGAAAGAAGCATAAAAACGATTTGGAATTAGTTAATAGTTTAAATTTTAAAAATTTTACTACCTGTAATCCCGTTCCTGTACCCCTGGCGATTAGGATGAAACTTCGTTAAAAACGTAATTTTGGTTAAGTTTAATCTGATCTGTTCTTGGTACTAATAGAAATCAACTGAAAACAAACTAACGAAATTCACAAAGGATTCAGCTCATTGTTGTTTCATTCATCACTTATTCAACAGCATGGCTAAAGGGGTTCAGCTTGGACGAGCGACTGGCATGCATAGGTAGGTGGATCGTTTAAGATGAAAGTGTAATGGTGACAGTTTGGATCCCTTCACATTTCGATATTTTTACTTTTTATTAGTAGTCTGAGTTATTCAATGTTCCTAGTAGTCTGGGTTATTCAATGTTCCTAGTAGTCTGAGTTATTCAATGTTCTTAGTAGTCTGAGTTATTCAATGTTCCTAGTAGTCTGAGTTATTCAATGTTCCTAGTAATCTGAGTTATTCAATGTTCCTAGTAGTCTGGGTTATTCAATGTTCCTAGTAGTCTAAGTTATTCAATGTTCCTTATGCTTGACGGTTGGCAATGATGTAATAAGTTGGTTGGTTGTTTTGAATATTTGCGCAAACCTACACACGGTTATCACTCTGCCTTAGATGTCCTAAAAGGAAGACAGTAGTAAACAATACCCACAGTTAACTCTTGGTTACACTTGTTAGACGGAATAGTGGAATATTACCGTTACTCTTATGGCGCATCCACTGCACCAAAAGGCAATATTCGTGACGTCTAATATGAAAATATATATGACATGCCAAATAAGTTGATAATTACCAAAGAAAAAAAAAGGATCCAAATTCAATGCAGTGAAAATAATACTCAATAGATATAAACAACTTTTAATGAGAAGTTATGTCGATTATAGATAAACAAACTCGTAAGACATGCCAAATAAGTTGATAATTACCAAAGAAAAAAAAAGGATCCAAATTCAATGCAGTGAAAATAATACCCAATAGATATAAACAACTGTGAATGGGAAGTGTGAAGTATCGTATATGTTAAAGTGATATTTTAATAGATTTGTATCTTGTAGTTAAAAACATTCTACTTCATCAGTATTTTATCACCAGGATGTTCTAACATGAACCCTCAGTTCATCATAAATTCCTTAATCCTGAAATGTGTATTTGATACTTCTGGAAACACATCAAACCGATCATGTTTCAACAAGGAAAGTTATATATTCTATAAAAGCCGGTCATGTTTCAACAAGGAATGTTTTATATTCTATAAAAGCCGGTCATGTTTCAACAAGGAATGTTACATGTTCTATAAAAGTCGGTCATGTTTCAACAAGGAATGTTATATATTCTATAAAAGCCGGTCATGTTTCAACAAGGAATGTTTTATATTCTATAAAAGCCGGTCATGTTTCAACAAGGAAAGTTATATGTTCTATAAAAGCCGGTCATGTTTCAACAAGGAATGTTATATATTCTACACAAGCCGGTCATGTTTCAACAAGAAATGTTATATATTCTATAAAAGCCGGTCATGTTCCAACGTAGGAATACATGATGAAGATCGTCTTTATATCTACAGCCGTGACATCATGTACTATTAACCCTTTTCCTTAGATAATTAACTTGGGGTGTTTGTATGTGTAATTGTTATAACCTGTGCAATATTCGATATTGGACCAAGGCTAATCGAGAGTTTGATTGTGCAGTCTCAAAAATAAATGTGGATTTTGATATTTTTACATTTCGTAAGGAATAATATTTAGGAAAGAATTTAATTGCTCAAAGATTAATGTCGTTTCTTGATTGCCATTTTTGGTACTGGACCATAACTAAAAAAAAGCTCAATATGATTTATACTATTATAATATTCGTGCTTTCAGTTCATCTTGTCTAAAACTTTGATACTGAATCTACTGAAATTCAGTATATTTCTCGAACATTGGTCCTCTCTGTTAATCCAAACTTTTTAGTTGCTGTCGACTGTTTTTGTGTTCTCAATGATTTGTTTGCCTTTAATTACCAAAGAGATGGACCATGATCACTTGCCCGACGTTCACATGAACATTCAAGGCTTTCAGATGATTTATTGTTGGTGGAACAAGAAAGATCATTGTATATACGCTTTATGGTGTTATCTTTATAAATTTCTTCTGGACACTTGAGAAAGTTTGACTCTAAGAAAGCGTTTAAAAACAGGCACATCATTGTAAAGAATATACCATCTTGTTTCAGATTTACATTTTGAAGCATATATGTATAGGGCGACATCAGGAAAACTTAACTAGAACCAGCCACACAACTCGGTGTCAGTAAGGTTTTTTGTGAACTATACCCCTCGTGTCTTTCCTAGTTACGTCTTGGCGTACGTTCCGCCACGTGTACCATCACTGTCTTCAAGTTTACCCTCATTTGCGTCTTACCTGTTCTCCAAATTGTGTCAATCCTTCGGTTACTGCTCGTACTTGCACCACTGCTAATTAGCTGAGAGTCCAAGTGTTTAATAAGATAAGCTTTTCACTTGGATTATCGCGGCCCTATACTCCTATACTCAGCCTGACCAATCTGAGTTACGACACCGAATGTCTACTTTATACTAGAACTTTGAAATGTGTTAATAAACAGTAAAAGTATCCACAAAATCTTGACGTAATAGTTGTCACGCTGGAATTACTTAACTTTAACACCAGTCGATTCAAAACATTTCAAACGCAGTGTCGCTCCAACTCCTTGAAATTTTGAATTTGCATGAGTGATTAATCGAACTTTTTGACTGATTCTAAAGCATGTCAGCTGTTTCATGATACATGAAAATATACTGCGCATATAACTTCATTCATTTGACGGGATAATGTTCCAAAAACTGTTTTTTTCTACTTCAAACAACTATTGAAATTCTTTAAATTTTAGTTATAAGTTTCATTGATGTTCATTTTAATATTTTTATTTTCCTAAGTAATACAAATATAGTATATAGTATTTAAATTTACTAAAATCTAGTAATTCTTGTTTTAAATTTTTGAGAAATGAAAAACTTGCTAGTAAAAATGATATCATTGATAAAAAAAAATTAAAAGCATAGTTAACACCACCTAGTGGTTAAGTCTTTAACAATTTGTATTTGTTATAGTCGTAAGTGGGCATGGCATGGCCAGGTGGTTAGGGCGCTGGACTCGCAATCTGCGCGTCACGGGTTCGAATCCCTGTACCACCAAACATGCTCGCCCTTTTATCCGTGGAGGTGTTATAACGTGACATTCAATCCCACTATTCGTTGGTAAAAGAGTAGCCCAAGAGTTGGCGACGGGTTGTGATGTCTAGCTGCCTTCCGTCTAATCTTACACTGCTAAATTAAGGACGGCTAGAGCAGATAGCCTTCGTGTAACTTTACACGAAATTCATAAACAAACAAACGTAAGCAAAAGTGAAATCAGCTAAGTATCTCAATAACGATAAGATAAAATATACTGTTTTCGCGGAACAAAATGAACACGGACAGCAAATGAAAAATTCAAACACAAGTGTAAAACAGATTTTTTTCACAAACTTCAACTACCAAGACGTGCTGGAATTTTTACTGTAATGATATCTTAATTATATGCCATCTTTGGAACAATGTAGCTACTGGAGAAAAGAAAAATCACGTATTCACATGACAAGAGACTGCAGGATTGTGTCTATGCCAAACTCCAAAGTCCGATCAAAGTCCTAGTCCTCCCCAATCATAGATTAACTTCCAGCTCATACTAACTTGTACAAACCTCTAAGCCAGCGTTATCATTAAGTATGACCCATGCGAGAGACGACACAGAAGCTTGAACAAGCAAGTATAAACTTTTTGGAATGATGAATGTGGCATGTAAGATTAACCGAAGATAAGGACTTTTAACTTCTTCACAAGGACATTAATTACA